CAAGCCCTCTCATTCAATAACTCATATCATTGCAGTAAGGTCTGTAGAGATAATATTTGATGATATTTAAAAGAAACGCATTGCCAGTAAATTTATTTGTGTAAAATTTTATCGATAGATGGCAATTAAATTTAATTTACCAATAAATATATACATTTATTGTAGGATTAAAACTCTTAAAATCACGATCATTAAAAAACAATAATAAACATTAAGAGGAGCCTCTTGTGTAAATTTCTTTAATACCGCAAGCTTTCGAACAAAACGTTCTTCAACGGGCGTGGATAGTAAAACCGTACTAACATATTATTAGAGGAGAAAAACTAATATGTACACCAATAAATTTACATACTAAAGAGATAATAGCGTAAAAGAGAATACAGCATAAATATTTAAAATTGAAATTTGCATGTTACAAACGTGACGACGAAAATATGCAATAAACTTAGCATGAGACTAAAAAACTAAGGTAAAAATTATTAAAACGGCGACATCCTTACATTAAAAGAACATAGAATATAACAGTATATGGAAGCTAAAACCCAAAAGGCCAAGGCATTGGGGCCCCACCCAGTGCTACCACTATCTTTGAGATATAAAAGGGGGGGGGGGGGGGGGGGTGAAAGAAAGGCTATTTACAGAGTATCTGGTAAATGTCTGGGAGGTCTATTCTACGGTTACAGCTATTGTTTTGTGTGGAGATAATGAATTTTTACCATATCATTATAGTTTGGTACATCTGGGAACCCACCTGGAGCCCATGTCAGACCAGAGTGAGGTTTCATAAGGTCTACAATGAATTCATCATGTTGTGGCTTTGTCAATGACCCTCCTCAACTAGATTGTAGAAATTGATAGCTCATAGGTTTTTTTTTAAGTGTGACTTTGATGGAAGAGATGTTGTTTTTTCTATTTCAGGGGTTGACAACCTGCAGCTCACGTGCCACATGCGATTCTTTGAATGTGAAGCTGTGGCTCTTTTATATAGTTCCATATGCAAATATTTATTTATGCAAACACTATTTATTGTTGGCAAGAAAAAATATTGTGGCTCTTTATAAACTTTGATATTTTGTAAATTGTAATTTTTGACTTTTCCGACTCAAAAGGTTGCCAACCCCTGCCCTATTTGATCAGTTTTCCTCTTGGCAAACATTTTCCCATCTAGATCCATGGCATCTATTTACCAACTTTACTGATTGGACATCCAGAGATTCTGTATGCTAACCCTGGTGTTGTCAGCGGTGGAGCGGAGCTCCTGGTGAACAAACAGAAGAACCTTGCCGTGGAAATCTGCAAAGAAAAGACAAGTAAATACCATTTCTCTCTCTCTCTCTTTTTTTTTTATAAATATCATTTGTTGGTTTGAAGTTTGTTTGGACAAGATATGGCTACATCAACCAATTCCCAAAATTTCAGTCAATCTCTGTCATATCTCTGTCATTCTCCTCAGGGCAATGACCAAGGAGACTGACAGCGAGTCACTGAACCACCGAGAATTAAATAAAAATTGGTTGAGGTATTTAATTTATAAAGTTCCCCACAACAGTCTGTCTAAAGGATGTGGTTCACATGATGACCCAAATGGACAAGGTCATTGTCACCAAGGCCCTTGCTTTTTTTTTGCTTATCCCTAGTACATGTGGTTGTTGTTGTTGTCGTGTCCAAAGAAGAGTCTCAGATGTCTCCATGCATCTCTCCATCACATCAGCAACAATATCCACTATCTTGTGTGTGTAAAGCTGCTGCTCTGGGTCTAAGTCAATTTTCTGCAAGGCTGCAGCCATTGCTGGGCATGAGAATTCAGTTTTGCTCTTCATTGGAAAATGGGTGCTGTTGCCACGTTAGTCACCTTGGAAACGAAACAGAATTTGGTTAAATATTCCAAGGTTCCAGGGGGGACCGCAGGGAGGTGTGGTCGGACTTTTCCCCCCCCAGTACATGTGGTACAGGCCATGACAATCATGGTGGGTAGAAGAAGCTGACTGCTTTTACTGTTAGTGCTCCACATGTCTACGCATGTGAAAAACAGTTCGACTTTGCACTTACAAATGTGTCAGAACCCCGTTTGGTTATACTTGCACTTGCTGGTGGGGTTGGACTTTTGAGAGAATTGGGGGCCATTGAATCATTTTTTTTTTTGTTAAATCAGAAAAAAGTGCCCAATGCGGGAATCGAACCTGGGTCGTAGCAGTCGAAAACCAATGGTGTAAACCATCTTTCCATCGACCCCCAAGGCCCTTACTTCCTTCTGTACTTATCTCAAATCGCTCTTAGCCCATAATGGAAAAATTATTGAATAGATTTTTTTAAAAATTATTTCAAACTATGATTTCCCCAAATATTAATTATGAAAGAATTTAGTTTCATTATATGATAAGGTACAATTTGGATTACATAGATTAGGAACACAAGGTAATAAGACCAAATCCAAAATACATAAATAGTGTGTGACGTTTTGGTAATAGCTTAGATTCAGTACTTTTGTCGATGATGGTAACAATGTTGTTACCGGAACGTCACACACTATTTATGTATTTGGTCTTATTACCTTCCATTATAGATTTTGCCAACTTACCTGCTCCCCTCCAATCCCAGCATACATCCACTGGAAGTCCAAGACTCTGACAACCATGTTGTACAGGGACCATCCGGGACCTCATCTCCTGGGTCATCAAGAATCTCATCAATGAGAGGCCGGACCTCTTTGCCGAGGGAGACACTGTGTAAGTCCGGCAACTGGACCTCACTCGCTGTTTGTTTTATAATCTCTGTACAGAAGGACTGATCTCATCATCAAATGTCCGTGTTGTTGCAGCAAGTAAATTGGTGTGTGTGTGTAAGCAGTGAATGTTGTGATGAAACATCTTTAAACTTCTATGTGGGCAGAAATTCTGAATTAGAAATAATTGAAAATAACATAAAACCCTTGGGAGAATGACTCAATAAACCAACATTACAAATTTATAACTCTGATATAGCCTAATTTAGTCTTTTGTCTGAAGATGATAACAACGATGTTACCAAAACGTCACACACTATTTATTTATTTGGTCTTAATACCTTGAGTTTCTAACTCTTTCCTTACACAATGCAAGAATTTTGCTGCCAACTTCACATATTATTACAGTAAAACCCCTCTATAGTAAACCCCAATGGGAAAGAATGTCTTAATAAAGGCTTGTGTGTGTGTGTTATTTTCTATCTTCAATGGCTTGAGGTGGCCTGTTCTAAATCTTGTTGTTTGATGCTGTCTGAGGTTCAGAGTTCCTCATAAAGTAGAAAAGTATTTTACAAGATTATATTGATTACTAAAAAAAAAGGCCTTTGTGTGTGTTTTACATCCCAATAAACACAAGGTAAAAATACCAAATCCAAATAAATAAATATTGTGTGACATTTCGGTAACAGTGTTGTTATTTGGATTTGGTCTTATTATCTTATGTTTATAATCCATAATCCAAATTGTGCCTTATCACATTCCAATAGAATGTGTGACCCACATTTGTGTCACAAGATGGTGACAATACTGATGGTTGTGACAGCCGGCCTGGGATCGTGGTCCTGGTTAACGACACAGACTGGGAACTTCTGGTGAGTGTGTGACTCTTTGTTTCTACTCTCTGTTGTTGTCGGTTATTCCAAGTACATCTAGTCATGGTGGGTTTATAGGATATCATCCCAGAGTATCATTGTTTTTTTTTTTTGCTTATCCCTAGTACACGTGGTACAGGCCATGATAATCATGGTGGGTAGTTAGCGACTGCTTTTTACTGTAAGCGCACCACATATCTACACATGTGAAAGCAGTTCGACTTTGCACCTACAAATGTGCCAGAGCCCCGTTTGGTTACTTGCACTCGCTGGTGGGGTTGGACTTTTGCAAGAATCAGGGGCCATTGGAGCATTTTTTTTTCAAACAGAAAAAAGTGTCCAATGCGGGAATCGAACCCGGGTCGTAGTGGTCGAAAACCAAACGGTTTAACCAGCCTTCCACCGACCCCCCCCGTATCATTGTTGATAATATGGATTGTAATCAACATCAGCGCTATCATATTTTCACAGATAGTCATTTTTCAAATACAGTAGAACCTCCCTTTAGCAGACACCTCTCCACAAATGGACAGTTTTCATTTACAAAATTACCATTTTTACAATTTAGTAACTCTCGGGTAAGTGGACACTTCTCTTTAACGGACATTTTGGCTCTGCAATTAGGTGTTGTCCTTTACAGGGAGGTTCTACTGTATTTGATCATTTATTAGAGTAGTAATTTTTTGTCATTGAGAAAATTTATAATTCTATTTACAGTTAATTGGGGAAGTTGTGTATAATGTGAGAGAGAGGGTAACAATTACATATATCTCAGAGTGTTGTTGTTACACTTACACACAGTACATGGGGGTTTTGGGGGTCTGTGGAAGAATGGTCTAAACCATTTGGTTTTCGACCGCTACGACCCGGGTTCGATTCCCGCATTGGACACTTTTTTCTGTTTAAAAAAAAAAATGCTCCAATGGCCCCCGATTCTTGCAAAAGTCCAACCCCACCAGCGAGTGCAAATAACCAAACGGGGCTCTGGCACATTTGTAAGTGCAAAGTCTAACTGCTTTTCACATGTGTAGACATGTGGTGCACTTACAGTAAAAGCAGTCACCTACTTCTACCCACCATGATTATCATGGCCTGTACCATGTGTATTAGGGATAAGAAAAAAAAATCTATATAGTTAATTGGGGAAGTTGTGTATAATGTGAGAGAGAGAGTAACAATTACATCTATCTCAGAGTGATGTTGTTACACTTATTCTAAATACACACAGTACATGGGGGTTTGTCACCTTATATACTGTGTTGTATACACTACACGTCTCTCTACACATGTAGAAATAGTTTGATTTTTTTAAATAAATTTATTATAAAGTACCACAGACCTTTTTGGCTTCTTCTGGTGGGGTTGGACTTGTGAAAGAATCAGAGAGACCTTTGGATTACTTTATTACGGCCATATCACATTGAAAACACAGGTTCTCATCCAATCACTGTAGTTAAGCCATTTTGGTCAGTACTTGGGAGGGTGACCACTTGGGGAGATGCTGTAGTCTAATTCCTTTTTTTTTTTTGTAAGTGCAAAAGTCTTTCTACATGTGGTGCACTAACAGTAAAAGTAATCGGCAACTACCACCCACCATGATTATCATGGCTCTTATCACATGTACTAGAAATATTATCATTTTTTTTTATAGGGATAATTAAAAAAAATGAAGCAGTTCTACTTTTTCTTTTACAAGGTGTGCCAGAGCCCTGTTTGATAACTTGCACTCATTGATGGGGTTGAAAGTTTGCAGGAAACAGGGCCATTGAAGCAATTTTTTTTCTTTAGGAAAAAGTTCCCAATGTGGGTGTTGAGAATCGGCTGTTTTTACCACTTCTTCACTGACCCCCAATAATAATAATAAGGATCCACCATTCTCAGATAAAAGTACTGAAGTCACCTGAATCCAACCTATTTGCCCCTTTTACCTCTTCCTCCACTTAACTCCACCTTCGCCGGTCCCAAGCCCGGATGAAAAAGGAGGAGGGGGAGCAGTAACAAGCTCGCTAAAAAACCTGGGTTCAGCTGGCCCGGCTGATAGTACCCTGTAAGAGCTCCTAATCCAGGGATACAGGATGAGCAGCGTTTGTACTCCATGTTAGGAGCGGCTGTACATGGCGTCTGTTCCTCATGTCAGAGGTGGCCATTTTTTTTTGGAGCTAAGTCGGCCTGCCACTGAGTAGTGCTCCCAGTCTTAATGACAAAGGCAGACACATTCTACTTCACCCAGTGTGGAGATAAGAAAGAAGAGACCTCTTCCCTTGACTTGGGTCTGTGGATGAGTAATATATACCATTGATATACCCAGGATGGAATATGGCATTGGGCACTTTTATATATAAAAAATATTGATCTAATGATCCCTGATTCTTGCAAAACCTCACCAGTGAGTACAAGTAACCAAACAGGGCTCTGACACCTTGTAAGTGCAAATGTTGAACTGCTCTCCACATATGTAGACATGTGGTGGTTCACTTACAGTAAAAGCAGTCAGCTACTACTACCCGGCATGATTATCATGGCTTGTACCACATGTACTAAGGATAATATTGTCGCGAAATTTGTTTAGAGTGAAAACAAAGTAATTGTTTAATTATTAAATATGTAAATATTTTAATAGTTCGATGTTATGTAAATTTTGTAACTGTAGATATTTCCTTCTTTTTTTCTTTAGATAAAAGGTGAGAGAAAGATATCACTCAATTTTCAAGCCTTAATAATAAAACCTGCTGAAATAGCTCTGTGTACCTCTATTCATTTAATTGCGACAATATATAAAAAACATCTCATCTCTGTTATAAGTGATGTGTAAAAATGGATGGTTTCCATTCCTGTGGTACTGGATTGGTTCTTTGTCGTCTTCTCAGCTCTCGTTTCTTCTTTTTACTCCAGCCCCACTGCTGGTCTCTCACCGTACTTCACAACACCAAGTTATACGTTCAGTAGCAGTGTTGTTACCTTGTTCAGATACTAGTACTGAATGCTACTCTTCCTTCTTTTATATATCACCAAGCTCTCTTCCTTTTATTTGTCAAATCTGGAAGTGTTATTTTCTTATTACACTCATGGACAAAACTTAACTTTCAGCATGTATATCAGGATTCAGACAATAACTCTGAAAGATATTACAGTGACCTTTATTGAAGACACACGAGATAACCAGGTGTGAACTAAATTTTCTCTGTGTCCTTAAAATAAAAATGGATGGCTGGCAACATCAAAGAGTTTCCAGCTTGATAACCTAATATAATATTGAGTTGAGATAAGAAAGAAGAAGAAAGAAAGACTTTGCACTTCCTTATGTTTTGTCCATGAGTGTCATATCCTTTTGACTATGTACCTGTCTACCACATACTGCTTGCTAACAAAGGAGATGTTTTCCAGGGGGAGCTGGAGTATGAGCTGCAAGATGGCGACCAGATCAGTTTTATCTCCACACTACACGGGGGTTAGCCGAACATTGCAACTGTGTACAGCTTGGTTTTATAACTTCTTGTGTTTGTGTTCTGATGTAAATATATTATCCAAGTTTCTTTGTGTCTCATGGTTTATTTCTTTTTTAAAAACTTGAATCCAATTTGTTAAAATAGTACAAATATGATATTGAATCCATTTTGAGATGTACCTAGAATCCAGTTTAAAACAAATCTATTGCAGTCAGTATATTCACAAAACTGCTGATAAATTTGAATACCATGTAACTTTTTTATTGCAGCCAACTTTTTAATAGCTGCTTGGTTATAACATTATGTTGTTGTTTCTTATCCCCTTGTGTAAAGATTACACAAATTCCATGAGTTCATGCTCCTCAAGCTGTTTGATGATAAGCAGCGGCCTCTCCCAAAGATCCTGTTTAGTGCATCTAATGCGAACTAAAATGTGTTCTGGAGCTGCAGGTGCCAAGCTACATTTTGGGCAAGTGGGGTAGTTTTTGTTATTATTTTTATCTTCAATGGCTTGAGGTGGCCTGTTCTAAATCTTGTTAGTGTTGTTTGATGCTGTCTTTTATAACATCCTAATTCTAAGGTCCCAACTATGGTTCCAGAATGGTTATAATAACAACAATAACAACATGGAGAATCATGGTCCCAAGTGATATTGTCAGAGTGACTGCACTGTGCTTAGTTTTCCGCTGTTAGTTGAGTTTATTAAACAAGGTGAAAAGACTAAATCCAAATTACATTTAAAATTTAATTGCCATCTATATATATATATTTTCCCTAGTACACGTGGTACAGGCCATGATAATTATGGTGGGTAGAAGTAGGCGACTGCTTTTACTGTAAGTAAACCACATGTCTACACATGTGAAAATAACCATCTATTGTTAAAATTAGTAATAATATTTTTGGCAATGTGTTCGACATATCAAATATTATCTCTACAGGCCTTACTGCAATGATAAAAGTTATTAAATGAGAGGGGCTTGGCTTATCTGTGGTTAACCCTCTCAGAGGTTTCACCAAATCAATAGTAGAGTGGTGGAAACCGCTGAGAGGGTTCACCACTGATGAGCCAAGCCTCTTTCAATAATTTTTATCATTACAGGTAAGGTCTGTAGAGATGACATTTGGTATGTGTAAAGAAACACATTGCCAAAAATAATTATTACTACTTTTAACTAAATCAAAATATTTAATTCATATATCTTTTCACCTTGCGATTTTTATCAACAATTCAAAATTCATGTTGTTGTTGTCGTATCCAATGAAAAGCCTCAGATGTCTCCATACATCTCTATCACAGCAGCAGCAATGTCCACTATCTTGGGTGTGTGAAGCTGCTGTTCTGGGTCTATGTCAATTTTCTGCAAGACTACGTCCATTGCTGGACATGAGAATATGTGGGTAGGTGTTAGTTCCACACCAGGACAGTTGTTGCATGTTCTGTAGGTTCTTGTGCCATCTGGATGTATTGTCATCTCTTTGTAATATCTTGTTCAGAAGTGTATAACATTTGATGGGTAGAGTTTTTTTTTTATTCACACCCACATTTTATTTAATTAAAAAGGCATATATTGGATTAAAATATCATTTATTTTACCAATATTTCAGTTGGTTGAACCTTTAATTACCAATGTATTATTTCAGCCAATTGAAATATTGGTAAAATATATGATATTTTGATCCAATATATGCCTTTTTAATTAAAGATTTATCTATGGATTGCTCTATTTTCAAAACACATGTTATTATAAAGTAATAACCCACTATCTATATACAGCAAATGAAAACATCAAGATGCGAATGTTTCTGTCACACATAAATCAAATGTTATATTTTGGTGTTTACTATGAAACCTTAGGTGGACATTCTGAGTTTTCCAAAGCTGGTGTTGTGTCTTACAGAGCTGTTCAATAGATTTCTTTACATCGATTTTGATGGGATTTCTTTTTTTTTCTTAGTTCAATTTCATTCCGTCAGAATTCGAGAAAAAGTATGTGTGGTCAAACTCCAAAATATATTGATAAGGCACAATTTGGATTATAGATTATAAACACAAGGTAATAAGACCAAATAAATAAATAGTGTGTATATATATATGTGTCAGTACTTTTGTCTGAAGATGGTAACAACACTGTTACTGAAACGGCACACACTATTTATTTATTTGGATTTGGTCTTATTACCTTGTGCCCAAAATATATTTAAAAAAAATCAATGTTGATATTTATTCTGATAGATGGTGCTATGTCATCATCACATGATCAGGAGATACTCCATTATTATAAAGCTATCCTGGTCTTAAAAAAAAAAAAATTGTAAAGAAACCAAACTTATCAACCACCATCTTTACACAAGCTTTTTAACACACACACACAAAAAAAAAAAAAGAAAGAATATCACTCCTGTCAAAATTGACACAAAAACTACACTCAAGTAAAAAAATTAAGTGGAAGTGGAAAGTCTTTGATGTCACCTGTCATCTATTTTTTTAAGGAGACAGAGACAATTTTGTTCACACACTTGGTTATCTTGTGTGTCTTCAATAAAGGTCACGGTATGTAAAATATCTTTCAGAATTATTGTCCTGATATACATGGTAAAAGGTACAACTTTAAGTTTTGTCCATGAGTGTATATACGTTACCTGGTGGGCCATATGCATTTCCAGATGGGAATTCTGAATTTGCCAAAGCTGGTGTTACGTCATCAACCTGAGTCTGCTAGTTTGAAGAGATGGTCAATAGAAGGCTCATCATTTTAGAACCTATTTTGAAAGACAACCTTTTTTTTTTTTTTTGGTTAATACCCTCAACAAGCAAAATTTCTATAAAGTTTTAACAGGTTGTGTGAAAGTTTACAACTGCCTGTTGTACCAAAATAACATGCTAATGTTATTATATAATTCCATTTTTATTGTATTGACACATCTTCTTCTTTCTTATCTCCACTCAGTCATATCAGGGTATCAAGCTTTGACAACCATCATGACTGGGTGAAGTAGAATGCGTCTGCCTTTGTCATTAAGACTGAGAGCACTACTCAGTGGCAGGCCGACTTAGCTCCAA